ACGAAGGAGGACTTGATCGACGACGACGGCGACGAGCTCTCGGCGCGCTCGGCGGCGCGCTCGGCGACGCGATGGCCGCGCGCGCGGCGCGGCGCGAGACCTGGCGCTGCCGCGAGGTCGCGGCCCTCGTCGCGAAGCGCCTAGGGGGAGATATGGGCCGCGACGACGCGCGTGAGCTGGACCCGCCATCGAAGTCCCGGCGACGTCACCGACGCCGACGCCGCGAGGCCGGGCGCGCACGTCCACGGCCTCGCGCTCTACGGCGCGGCGCTCGACGCCGACGGCGGCCTCGAGGAGATCCGGCGGCCCGACGTGGAATTCGAGCGCGCGGGCGTGCTCTACGTCTCCGCGCGCGTCGCGGACGACCCGGGCCCCGGCGTCTACGAGGCGCCGGCCTATCGGACCAAACACCGCAAAGCGGAGGACCTGCTCTTCGTCGTTCGATTTATGTGCGGCGCCGACCGGCGGAAGTGGCTCATCCGCGGGCCCTGCCTCGCGCTGGACGGTTCGCCTTCGGGTGACGCGTCGGGCTAATTATAGTGTGTGTTGTACTTAGTTATAGTGCCGGTGGTCTCCAGAGCCTGAGTTGTACTTGCCTTGAAAGGTTGCCTTGAATTAGGACCCGGACCACGCAAGGTACCGGTCTGAACAACTGGCTTACGACCCCCCCTCGTCGCGCTCCTCCTGGGCGTAGCCCGAGGCGACGCCCGTGCGGCCCTCGACGGCGGGCCGCACGGGCGTCTCGCCGCGGGCGACCTCGAGGCCGCGCCAGTCGCGCGCGTTGAGGAAGTCCGCCGCCGCGGACTTCCACGCGACGACGGCGGTCTCCGCGTCGTCGTCGTCGTCGTAGGCGAGGCGCACGCGGCGGTCCGCGAAGGCGTCGCCCGCGTGGCCCGCGGAGAGGTCGAAGGTCGGCGCGTCGTCGTCGTCGGCGGCGGCGGCCTCGCGTTCCTCGGCGACGGCGACGTCGCCGAGGTCGCACGAGTAGAAGGGCGCGTCCTCCGGGAGCCAGTCCGCGTCCCCCAGCACGACGGCGAGCTCGTTGGGCGAGATGAGGGGCGCGTTCGACTCCGCCGCGAGCGCGTCGAGCAGGCCGTGGTCCGCGCCGACGATGACGAACGCCTCGAGCTCCGCGAAGTTCGCGAGCTTCGTGGGCGTCACGGGCCCGACGGCGAGGACGTAGGACGACCGGCCCGCGGCGCGCAGGGCCGCGTCGCAGCTCGCCGCGACCTCGGACACGTCCCTGAGCCGCCCCGCGGCCGCCGCGCAGACGCCCCAGCGCGTCGCGCGGCGCGCGCGCGACAGCGCGTGGTGCCGCTTCGCGAGCGCGCGCGCCGCGGTCCGGCGCGCGCCGTCGGCGCCGAAGGTGCGGTCCGGTCGGAGCGGGTCGACGACGGCCAGGGCGCCGCCGACGCAGCCCGCGCAGCGCAGCGCCGCCGCGCCGCCGAGCCGCGTCGACGCCGCGCCGACGAGCGCGACCCGCCGCCGCCGGAGGTCGGCCTCCGCGTCGAGGGGCGCGACGAGGCCCGCGACGTTGAGCGCGGGGCCGGCGTCCGGCGGCGCGTCCTCGCCGGGCCCGACGCGCGCGTGCCGCGGAAGCGCGCTCGCGACGACGGCGACGCCGAGGTCCGCGGCGACGAGGTCCGCGACCGCGACCGCGACCGCCGCGTACTCGGGCGCCGCGAGGAGCAAGACGTCGGCGGCCGCGTCGGCCTCGTCCTCGGACAAGGCCCGCAGCGCCGCGCCCGCCGCCGCGGCGACGGCCGCGGCGTCGGCGGCCGGCCGCGGCCCGACGACGAAGAGCACGGGCGGCGCGCCGGCCGGCGCCGCCGCGAGGCAGTCGGGCCCGTAGTGGACGATGGCGTCGGCGTCGACGTGCGCCGCCGCGACGCAGTCCACGGCGCCGCCGGGCGCCGGGTCCCCGAGCACGTAGACCTCGGGCTTCGGGTCCGGTAAAAACGCCTCGAGCTCCATGGCCACGGCCGGCGACAGGGAGAGCAGCGCGTCCGGGAACTGCAGCGCGAGGCGCTTGCAGGCCGCGTGCGCGACGAAGCGCGCCACTCTCTCGTACTCGAAGTCCGCGGCGCGCGTCGCGGAGGAGCCCTCCGAGGAGGGCACGATTGACGCCATCAGTCTCCTCCTCGCCAGCTGCACCAAGGTCTTGTCGCCAAGTTTACCTTCATCAAAGGCTGCCCCGCCTCAGCCCCAGCATCGAAGTCGACTATCACCGCCACCATCCGCCATGAACATGATCAATCAAGCGCTGTGCGGGCCGCCGCGGCCGCCGCCGGAGACGCGCCTCAAGAAGACGGAGGACCGCCTCGAGGCGCACTTCGCCAACGTGACGTTTGAATCGGCCATCGACACGCGCTGCGTCGAGGACGAGGCGGCGAAGCGGCTCGGGGAGGTGGGGACATTTTTGAAGATCCCGGCGGAGGAGATCACGGTGCTGGGGAAGATCGGCGAGGGCACGGAGAAGCGCGTCTTCGAGGCGCTCTGGAAGGGGCAGCGCGTCGCGGCGCTGGAGATCTTCGGCCCGTCGATGGCCTGGGAGCTCCACGTCCAGAAGCGCATCTGCGAGCACGCCGTGCTCGGGACGCACCCCCACGTCGTGCGCATCTACGGCGCGACGGACGACGACCGCTACATCTTGAACGAGTACGCGCCGCTCGGGTCGCTCACGAATTACGACGGGTCGCCGAGCGTGCTCTCGAGGCGCTGCCCGCCCTACGCCCACTACCCGTCGGCGAAGCTCCTCGCGGCCGCGGCGCTCCAGGTCGCCGAGGCCGCCGCGGCGTTCTACGACGCGGGGCTGCTCCACCGCGACCTCGCGGCGCGGAACGTGCTCGCGTTCGCCTTCGACGACCGCGACGTCCTGGTCAAGCTCACGGACTTTGGGCTCGTCGCCGACCGCCGGCTGACCGTCGGCGGCGCGTCGACGCTCCTGACGGCGCCCTACAAGTACGGCTGGCCGGAGAAGCACGCGATGGGCACGCGGTGGATGGCGCCCGAGGCGATGCCCGACGGCGACTTCGCCTTCGACGACAAGACGGAGATCTACGGGCTCGGCGTCGTGCTCTGGGAGCTCTTCTCCCTGGGCGCCGTGCCCTACGGGGACCTGCGCAACGACGCGATCCCCGCGGCGAAGCGGAGCGGCGCGGCGCCCGACGTCGGCGAGCTCGCCCGGACGCGCGGCGCGGCGACGCCCGCGGTGAGGAAGGTGCTGGCGGCCTGCGTGGAGCAGTTCGCCGCGAACCGGCCGACCTACGCGGAGCTCGCGGCGTCGCTCCGGCGGCTCCGCGACAGCGACGGCGCGACGGCGCGCGACATGGCCGCGCCCGACGCGAGCTGGACGCCCCTGAGCCCGCGGGTCGCGGCGCTGGACCCGGCCTACGCCCTGGACCCCCGGGCCCTGGCCCTCGCCGCCGCGCCGCTGCCCGTGTCGGACCTCGCGGCGTTCGGCGTGAAGCGGCACGTGCTCGCGGCGTCGGGCGACGCGGTCTTCGCCGTGCCCCTCCTCTCCGAGGCCTTCTGCGACGACCTCGTCGAGGAGCTCGTCGCCTTCCACCGCAGCGGCCGCGAGACGTCGCGCGCGAACAGCAACAACCGCCACTCGATGCGCGTCGTCGAGCTCGGCTGGGCGCTGTGTGGAAATCAAACATTCAAACCGACTTCAATGTGCGCGTATTCGACAGTTTCGATGCAAGCTCTTTGGCTGCGCTTCGAGAACTCGACGAGAGCAATCGATTCGTCCAAAAATCAGCCGAATCGACTTCGATTTGACCGAGATAGAGAGGTTTGAAGTTTTGCTGGACGCGTCCATTCCACTGGTTTATTTCCACACAGGCTGGGCGGGCTTCCTCGAGCCGCTCGTCGCCGGCTTCGCCGCGCCCCTCTCGGACGCGCTCTACGGCGCGAAGAAGCGCACGGGCAAGCGCAACGCCCTCAAGTTCGCCCACGCCCACACGGTCCACCGCGTCTGCGAGGACCACGCGCGGCGGTCGCCGCTGCCGGGCAGCAACCGCGGCTCCAAGCACACGGACCAGGCCGCGCTGACGCTCAACGTCAACATCGGCGGCGAGTGGAAGGGCGGCGGCGTCAAGTTCTTCGACGACGCCGGGAACTCCATCCTCGTGCCCAACGAGCGCGGCCGCGCGCTCGTCCACCCGGGCCGCCTCGTCCACCAGGGCACGAAGCTCACCGAGGGCTACCGCCTCAACCTCGTCATCTGGACGAACCGGTAACAATCCGCGAGCCGCACGGACCACAGTCGGAGGGCCTTTACACGGGGGGGTGGGCGCGGGGGCTGTCGCGTCAGCCTTCCGCGGGGGCTGGGTTGAAGCAGCCGCAGGACGGGTCGCCGTCGGCCTCGTAGGCCGCCTCCGCGGCGATGGGCTCCGGGCTCGGCTCTAGCTCGTCGATGCCGTCGATGACGGGCGCGACCTCCTCCACCTTCGCGGGCGCCGCTTCCGCGACGACGGCCGCCTCGACGTCCTTCGCCGGCTCCGAAGGCGCGATGTCGCGGTTTTTGTAGATGAAGTAGAGCAGGCCGATGAACAGCAGGACTAGGACGACGCACACGCCCTCGCCTATGGACTCGTACTCAGGAGAAGGGAAATCGATCGCTGCCAAAACGGGAAGCTTGGCCGAGAGGCTCTCGGGCAGCGACCGCGGGAGCGCGCGCGTGGGATCGGCAGCCAAGAGGGACGCGCGCGCGACGCACCCAGACCATTCATGGCACCAGCCAACAAAAACGTTCGACGAGGTGGGCCAAACAAGGATGGCAAAAATCGTACAGCACCACCCGATACATGCAGGGACGCACAAACATCAACACGCGAGGCCTCCATGCAGACTTCCACGCAGTGCGGCGCCACAAGTATTAGGTCACCAGTGGGAATTCAACACGCGAGGCCTCCATGCAGACTTCCACGCAGTGCGGCGCCACAAGTGGACTTACAAGTGGCGCCACTTTGACAAGCCTTAGATCCGCGCGGAGGCCGGCGCGTCGAAGACGCCGAGGGCCAGCCAGGCGGCGGCGGCGAGGAGGGCCGGCACGAGGTAGAGGGGCGCGAGGGGCGCCTCGACCTGGATCGAGTCGCCCGCGCCGAGGGACACGGCGCCGAGGGGCGCCCACGCGTTCGCCGCGCCGAGCGCGACGACGGGCGCGGTCCACGTGTCCGTCGCGCTGCAGGTGACGACGGACACGACCGCGAAGTCGCGGACCTTGAACTGGCCCGGCGCGTTCGCGAGCGCCCTGGCGGCGACGCGCCGCGAGCTCGCGAGGCCGGCCTTGACGAGGTAGTCCGCCGTCACGGCGCCGCCCGGCGGCGCGTCGACGACGGCCGGGTTCGTCGCGAGGGCCGCGAGGACCAGGCCCGCGGCGTAGATGGGCGCGCGCGGCGGCGGGCGGAAGCACGCGTACGCGGCCGCGCCGCCGCAGAGCAGCGCCGCGCGGCCCTCGGCGTCGAGCGTCGCGAGAAGCGACGCCGCGCCCCCCCAGAGCTTTTCGAGAGAGAAGCTGTCCGGCGACGGGCCGACGACGCCCGCGACGACGAGCGGCCCGAAGACGACGAGGCCCCGGAGCCTCCCGCGCGCGTCGCCGGGAGAACCGAGGTGCGCGAGGCCCGCGGCGGCGGCCGCCGCGCGCGCGAGCTTCGTCGCCGGCGGCTGGCTTCGCCAGGCCGAGATCCACGCGCCGGCGGCCTCGCTCCGCCGGCTCGCCGCGGCCAAGCCCAGCTCGAGCGCCGCGCGGAGCACGGAGAGCGCGTCGACGCGCCACGTCGTCTGCCGGTCGTTCGGCACCTCGTACTTGCGCGCGAGCTTGGCGTAGAGCTGCGCCTCGCTGCCGGCGTACTTCTCGAGGATCGACGGCACGCCCTCGAGCTTCTCCGGCGCGTGGGCGCCGTAGAACCGGCAGAGCCGCGCGCCGTGGACGACGGGCGCGACGGCCGGCGGCAGCGCGTCGAGGTGGCCCACGTACTGCAGGCCCACGGCGACGAGCACGACGAGCGCCGACAGCGAGCTGATGAGTTGCGACGATGCGTTGCAGCGCGCGCGGCCAGCGGCGCGAGAGGCGCGAGATCTGCCACTTGGAGCTGAGAGCTTGTGNCGAGGGAAACATGCAGTAATATTGAACCGATTATNTACGCCGCGCCAGCGCCGAAACAANATCGGGGCAGCCCGAGAACAAGTTGTCCATGCCCGCCGCCAAGCGCACGCTGACCAAATCGTCCATGGCCGCCGCCAAGCGCACGCTGCGCGCGCCGCTGCCTGCCGTCGCGCGCGCGGCCGCCTCGGCGAAGCGCACGCTGCGCAGCTGCCTCCGCGCGCCGTCGCGGCCGTCGCAGCCGCCCGAGATGCGCAGCTGCCTCCGCGCGCCGTCGCGGCCGTCGCAGCCGCCCGAGATGCGCAGCTGCCTGCGCGCGCGCTTCTCGCTGGCGCCGCCGCAGCACCTGCGCGGCGACCAGTCCCCCGGCACGCTCTTCGCCGACGTGGAGATGGAGATCCTCGACGTGGCGACGCCGCGGCCGCCGAAGCGCTTCCGCTTCGCCGGCGCGGTCGCCGCGCCCGGCGACGGCTTCCAAGAGTCGTTCCACTGCGGCGCGCTCACGCGCGACGAGCTCCGGTCGCCGCCGCCCTGCGCCCCCTCCGCCGACGACCTCGGCGACGACGACCACGACTGGCACATGGAGCTCGCCTCCGCGCCGTCGTTCGGCTTCGCGTCGCGCTCCTAGGAACCTTCCCGGTCGCCGCGGCCGCCGCCCGACCCCCGCGCGCCGCGCCACGTAGCACACGCACCCTACTCGTCATCGCGCGGCGGGAGGATGGCGCCGAGGTCCGGCGCGACGAGGATGGCCTCGATGATCTCCGCGCTCGTCGGCGTGTAGTTCTTCGGCCGGGGCCGCGTGCCCGCGGCCTCGCAGGAGAGGATGTGGGCGATCTCGGGCGCGAAGACCGTGCGCAGGAGCAGGCGCCGGTTCTCCGTCGCGTTCTCGCCGTACTCCGCCGCGGCCGCGGCCTTGCGGAGGAACATGGACCGCTCGAGGGCCGCGTCGCGCTCCGGGTCCGCGGAGTCGGACCGGCCGAAGAGGCCGCCGCGCTTGACCAGGTCCGCGAGCGACGCGTCCGCGTCCACCTCGTCGGGCAGGTGCTCCGGGATGAAGGTCGGCGCGCGCTCGCGGCCGAGGAACGACTGGCGCCGCGGGCTCCGCGTCGACGCCAGGAACGACGACGCGCCGCGCGCGCGCCGCGACGAGAACTCGGTGGCGAGCTTCCGCGCGCGCGTCGCGCCGTCCGCGAGGCGCGCGGCCGCCAGGTAGGCGACGTGGAAGACGTTGACGGGCGACGGGAGCGCCAGGTGGTTGTAGTAGACGATGACCTCCGCCTTCTGGAACAGGAACTCGCGGTGGATGTTCGCGTTGACGCGCTCGTAGGACGACGACATGATCGCGATGAGCAGGTTCAGGAGCAGGATGTTCGAGCACAGGATGTAGAGGAAGTAGAGGCCGATGGCCAGCGTCTGCCGCGGGCTCGAGCCGTCGTTCTCGCCGATGGACTCGAAGATGTCGAAGGCCGGCTCGTGGACGAGCGTCTTGAACGCGAGGTAGATGGCGCCGTGGATGTTCGCGACGTCCTCGTGGCCCGACGCGTCGTTCTCGCCGAGGAACATGAAGAAGAAGGCGAAGCCGAAGCCCACGAGCACGAAGAACAGGATGATCAAGAAGGGGATGATGTCGAAGGCCATGAACAGCGTCATGCGCACGAGCGTGCCGCACTGCTTGTGGACCGTGACGTAGTAGAGCAGCCGCGTCCACACGAGCACGAGCGCGACGGCGCCCGACGCCGTGTAGACCTCGCAGAGGAACGTCCGCGCTCCCTGCTCGTCGCGCGGGTGCCAGAAGTCGCGCGCGAGCGCGACCGTGAGCGTGTCGACGACGACGGACACGGCGTCGACGACGTTCCAGAAGTCGGCGAGGTAGAGCCGCGTGTTCCGATGGAGCACCTCCCAGTCGTCGACCTACCAAGCATGTTGGGTAACAATTTCTCTTCGTTTTCCCGGTCAAAATCTCTCGAAAATCGTCACCGCCACAGGACGCTGTCGTCGACCTCCCGCAGGGCCTTGCCAAAGATGCAGAGGAAGAGAAAAAAGCGCAGGAACGGGCCCGGCCGCGCGGCCGCGTAGACGAGCCTGGGCGGGACCGGGGGATTCGACGCGCGCGTTCCGCGCGCGCGCGTGCCAGAAAAGCATCTCCAAGGGATGATCGCTCGTCCAAACATCAGCCGAAACGAGTGGAACGGTCGCCGCTCATCCAGGGGGGTACCTCGTGGAACGCGGCCGAGAGAGGAGCCTTTGGGAAGTTCGCCCGCCCCGCGACGCGCGCGTGCGTGAGCAATGCCGCGAAGGACGCGTCGAAGCAAAAGTCGATGTAGAACTGCATCTTCGGCGAGTAGGACGCCGCGAGCTTCTCGAGGAAGACCTTGTCCTCCTCGACGTCGTTCGCGTCGTCGCAGTCGTCGCAGCCCGCGCGCGTGCGGATCCGGCTCCGCCGCGCCGCGGCGCCCGCGCCGCGCCACATGGACTGGAGCACGAGGGTCACGCCCGGCGCCGTCACGAAGAGCGTCGAGTTGTAGGCCAACGCCAGCGCCAACGCCGACGTCTGGTGGCTCTGGTTCGCGTCGACGCGCAGCAGCCCGAACGCGACGTGCTTCGACCGCTCGCCGAACGCGTCGCGCGCCCACGCGAGCTCCGCGGCCTCCCGGCCGCTCTGGGGCTGGAGGGGCAGCGCGACGACGGCGGCGGCGACGTTCTCGTAGGACGCGGCGAAGCCCGCGAGCAGCGGCAGCTTGTAGCGCGCCTCGCACTCGCGCATCTGCTGGCTCAGCCGCAGCGCGGCCGTGAGCGGGTTCGCGGCCGTCAGGATCCTTAACTTCGCGATGACGTGGATCTGCCGCAGCCGGCGCGCGTCGCGCTGGGACCGCTTGAGCAGCGTGTCCAGCGCGGCGACGCGGCCGCCGCGGCCCTCGCCGACGAAGCTCCGCAGCGGATCCGTCGCGAGCGCGCCCGCGTCGTTCTCGGCGAGCCGCGCGTCGAGCTCCAGGAGCCGCAGCGCCATCTCCGCGTAGCCCCAGAAGGCGACGCCCTGGGCGACGACCTCGGGCTCCACGAGCACGCGGAGCGCGACGTGCAGCGCGGAGTCGCCGGACGCCGCGTCGCGGTCGCCGCCGCCGCCGCGGTCGTGGGCGCGCTCGACGGCCGCGAAGTCGCGGCGCAGGACCGCGGCGAAGAGCGGCGGCGGGTCCGCGCCGGCGACGCGCCGCAGGCACCGCTTCGACGGCGCGAGCGCGGCGCTGAAGGGGAGCGCGCCCTGGGCCGCGAGCGCGTCGAAGTAGTCGACGGGCGGCCGCCGCGTCGCGAGGTACTTGCGCGTGTGCGCGCGGTCCTCGTCCGCCCGCCCCGCCCGCCCGTCGGACAGCGAGCTCCAGCGCGTCGCCGTCGACAGCGTGCGGTGCCGCCTACGGAACGCGTCGGTACCGATGGTTCATCGTTTTTCATCTCTCGAACATCGTCCCGGCCGCGGGACGCCGGGTGCCGCCCGTAGAGGCCGTCGAAGGCGCAGAGGTCCGTAGCCTCGTCGAGCACGAGGCCCAGGTACGTCGTCAGCGACAGTGGCGTCCGGTGCGTCGACACGGCCTCGATCTGGTGCAGGCAGTAGCGCCCGAGGTCGCTGGAAATCTTCGCGCTCGCGAAGATGCCCCGCGCGTCCGCGAGGCCGCCGCCGCGCGCGAGGCAGTGGAGCGCGGCGACGAGCGCGTGCGCCAGCGCCGCCGCGGCGTCCCGCTGCAGGACGATGCCGTCGACGTCCGCCGTCGGGTCGTACTGGAGCGGCCGCGGCACGTAGAGCGACCGCGGCGCGCCGTCGCCGCCCGCGCCGAGCGCGACGACGCGGCAGCGCCACCGGATGCCCCAGCGCCGCGCGGACCCCGCGGCGGCGAACGCCGTCGTCCTACCGGCGTCGAGCGCGCACGCGTAGGACGCGCCGCCGTAGCAGTACTCGAAGGCGTCGGCCGTCGCCCGCCAGACGCCCGCGACGCCGGCCTCCGGCGCCTCGCCGGCGCTGTCGAGGAGCCGCAGCGACGCCGCCACGGCGTCGTCGTCGTTGGCCTCGTCGTCGTCGTCGGCGTCGGGTTGCACGGGCGTCGTCATCTCGATCATGGGGTTGCCCGTCGCGAAGCCGCTGGGCCGATCCGCGGTCCTGCCCAGGGCGAGGACGCCGCTGCCTTCTCGCGGCGACTCCATAATTCGCGCGACAAAAACGTCGAGTCGTTATTGAAGTTCAAGGTGCACGCGACAAGTTGCCGTGTGTCTACGAGAAAGCAACGGTCGATCCACGCGACGACACCAAGTGCGATCGCCGTCCCCCAACGATGCCAAGCCTTATATCTCGTCGTCGTCCCGGAAGGTCGACGCGAGGTCCGAGACGGGCTGCTGGTTCGCGTCGAGGTGCTCGCGGCGCGTCTCCTGGGCCTCCTTGCGCTTCTCGTACTTGGAGCCGAGCTGGCGCTTCTCGCGCGCGCGCTCCTCGTTGGGGAGGACGAGGGACGCGTCGTGGTAGAGCGTCGAGCCGCCGAAGGAGCCGCTGAAGACGCGGATCGGCGCGAGCACGAAGCGGGGGCCGATCTCGACGAGGGACGTCGCGTCGCGCTTCTGCGACGGGGGCTGGCAGGATCACAAGGCGGGGGCGCGCGGGGACGGGCGGCGGTCGACGATCGAAGAGGAGAGCCGTCGGATAGTGGTGCATGTTTCTTATCGATCACGAAGCGCCTCCGGGGGCCGCTCGGGCGGCGCCTTTCGGCGCCCCCCGCTGAGCGGCCCCCTCGGGACAGTGTCAGAACAGGTCTATGAAAGGGTTCATCGTCACCCGGCTTGTTTTGAAGTGGCAAACACGAAACTGCGCCGCGCCGGAGAGCGACGACCGCGTCCGCGTCGTCGACGGCGTCGTCGACGATCTGGTAGTGGCGCACCCAGACCTTGCCGTCGGCGATGGAGAACGCCATGGCGCGGTCGAAGAAGGGCTTGGACTTGGGGTGGCCCCGGGGCGTGCCGAAGGTCACGGCGAGGAGGTCCCGGACCGCCGACCAGTGCGGCTGCGCGTCGAAGGCGCCGTCGAAGCAGAGCAGCGCGCGCGTGCCCAGGCCGCAGTTGCCCGTGAGGCGCAGCTCGTCCATGGTGTGCACGTTCTGCACGAGGAACTTGGCGCTCGGGCCCTTGGGCGCGCGCGACACCCACATGTAGAGGTCGGACCGCTTCCGCGCCTCGAGGTAGACGCAGCCGTTGCAGCTCTTGAGCTCGCAGATCTCGTTGAGCTGCCGCGGGTCGTTCTTCGTGTCGAGCTTCGCGTCGCTCTTGTGGTGGGGCAACAGCTTCTTGAGGTCCTCGAGCAGGTGGCGGTGCCGCGCGGACGTGCCCCGGCTGCAGACGACGAGCACGCGCTGCTTGTTGACGTAGCGCACGCGCGGCGGCGGCGCGGACGCGGCCTCCGCGGGCTCGGCGGCGGGCGCGGGCTCGGCGGGCGCCGCCGCCGCCTTCTTGGACCGCTTCCGCTTCTTCTCCTGCACGGGGACGGCCTCGGCCTCGGACTCGGACTCGGACTCGGAGCCGAAGCCCGCCTGCTTCAGCGCGTCGGCCTCGAAGCTGTGCGACGGGGCCTTGCTCTTCTTCGACGACGGGCCCATTGCAACCCTGCGCCGAGCTTTATCGCCTGCAACCTTGTGGGTGGCGGACGAGCTTTGCTTTGTGTCGCTAAAACTTTAGTGTTTGGTCGAGAGTGCACCGCAATTGTAGTCAATGTTGACGTTTTTCAAAGCGGCCAGCCCCGAGTCACGCGATGGGCAAGCAGTCCAAGACCCAGCGCCACCGCCTGCACAAGGAGCACGCGGCAAAAGTAGAAAAGGCCATCGACATCAGGAAGTCGCGCATCAAGCTCGGCGGCGGCGGCGCCTTCACGACCGTGAAGATTAAGCGGGGTGCCTGCGTTGGATTCTACGCGGGCAGCCGCGGCGTCCAGACGGACTCGCGCGACTACGTCGTCGACGGCGATTCGGGCTCGACGCGCGACGGCTTCGACCGCGACGGCCGGCTCGTGCTCGCCGACGGGTCGCGGGTCGACGCGCACGGCTGGACGGCCGAGGACTGGAAGCCCGTCGCCGGCGCGAAATGGGACGGCGTCGCCGCGAACTGGACGCGCTTCATGAACCACGCCTCCGCCGACCACCAGAACGTCGCCCTCGCGACGACGTCGGAGACCTTCGGCCGGTCCCACGCCTTCTACGCGAAGCGCGACATCGACGCCGGCGAGGAGCTGTTCTTCAGCTACGGCGCGACGTACTGGCGCGACCGCGCCATCGTACCGGCGGACCCGGAACCCGCGTAAATTGGGCTATGTGCGACGGTCGATTAGGTTTTCAGGGAGGGGACGCGGCGCTCCTCGAGGCCCTCCTCGGGCTGCTCGGGCCGGTAGTACGCGCCCGGGAAGCGGACGCCGAGCAGCGCCTGCTCGAGGCGCTCGAGCTTCGCGGGCGCGTCGACGCGGCGGCCGTCGTCGTAGCCGCGCTTGCGCGCCGAGGCGTGGAGGATGACGAGGTGGCCGTCCGCGCGGTCGCGCGCGAGGGCCTCGGCGCGGTCGAGGTCGTTCGACCGCGCGGCGGAGAGCAGCCAGGCCTCGTAGGCCTTGGAGCCCACGGCGCGGTTCCGGTCCCGGAGGATCGTGAGGGCGTCGTGGAGGAAGTCGGCGCCGCGCTCGCGGTCCGCGCCCAGGTCCGTCAGCGCGGCCCACGTCGCCTGGTTCGGCGCGAATCGCGCGGCCGCGCGGTCGAGCGCGTCCAGGGCCCGGTCCCAGGCGCCGAGCTTCGCGAAGCCCGCGATGGCCGCGTTGTAGGTCACGAGGTTCGGCGCCGTCGACGCCCGCGACCGCTTGGGCACGTTGTCGCCGCGCGAGAATCGCGCGCCGCCGCGGTCGTGGCGCCGGCCCCGCGTCTCCATGTCGTCGAGGAGGCGGCTCGCCGCGTCGGCGTCGCCGCCCGCGAGGTGGCACCGCAGCAGCAGCGTCAGCGTGACCACGTCCTCGCGCACGCCCGCGGACCGCATCTCCGCGGCGAGCGCCTCGCCCGCCTGCGGCCGCCCCGCGGACAGGCACGCCTCCAGGAGCGCCGCGCAGGTGCGGCCGTTGGGCGGCACGCCCCGGCGCCGCATCTCCCGGAGCACCAACAACGCCCCCACGAGGTCGCCGCGCTTCGCGTGCGCGAGCGTCGCGATCGTGTAGGCGACGACGTTCGGCCGCAGGCGGAGCGCGGCGCGCGACTCGTTGCCCTGGTTCGCGCAGGCCGCCGCGTAGGCCGCCTCCAGGTCGTCGAGCTTCTCGATGGCCTCCCGGGGCTTGTCCACGCGGAGGAAGGCCGTCGCGACGTTCGTGTAGGACAGCAGGTCCGGCTGCACGCCCGCGTCGCGCATGCGCTGCAAAGCCCGCGACGCCTCGCGCCACCGCAGCGTCCGCGCGTAGCCCCGCACGAGCGTGTTCCAGGACGTCGCGTCCGGGAGGAACCGCGCGTGGAGCCGCGCGCGCTCCGCGGCGAGGGACGCGTGCAGGTCGCCCGCGGCCGCCAGCTCCCTCGTCCGCGCGAGCACGGCCTCGTAGTCCGCCTCCAAATCCTCCAAACACGACTCCGCGGCGTCCAGGTCGCCCGCCTCGACGTGCGCCTTCATCAGCGCCGTGTGCGCCACGCGGCCCGGCTTCAGGCCCGCCAAACGCATCTCCTCGAGGACGCGCGCGGCGTCGCGGGGCCGCTTCGCGCGCGCGTAGACGTCGATCATCGAGTTGTACGTGATCGCGTCCGCCAGGGCCCGGCGCCGGGGCAGCACGACGGAGTCCTGGGCCTCCCGGCTCACCTCGGCCTCCTCGGCGTCGCTCTCGGGGACGCGCGTCAGCGCCGCGAAGAGCCGCTCGGCCCGGCCGACGTCGCGCGCGTTCGCCGCCGCGGCCAACAGCGCGTTGCCGAGGACGACGTCGATCTTCACGCCCCACAGGTGCATGCGCGACGCCACGCCGAAGCCGTCGGCGACGCGCCGGCACTTGCCGTAGGCCGTGACGCCCGCCGTCACGAGCCGCCGGTTCGGCACGGGGTAGCGCGCGTCGTCCTCGGCGACGCACTTGTCGAAGAGCGCGGCCGCCGACCGCGGCGCGCCGACCTTGACGTAGGCGGCGACGGCGTTCGTCGCGAACTTGGCCGTGAGCGGCACGTCGTCCAGCGCCGCCAGCAGCGCGTCGAGCCGCGCGCGCGCGACCGCGCGGCCGCCGCCCCGCGCGGGGTTCGACGCCAAGGACGCGTAGGTCCGCGCGAGCGAGCAGCAGCGCTCGAGGAGCAGCGACGCCGTCGCCGTCGCCGGCAGCTCCGCGCGCCGCAGCTCGCGGTAGGCCAGCAGGGCGTCGCCGACGTCGCGGCGCACGAGCGCCTCGGCCTCCTCGCCCAGCGTGAAGCCCCCGTAGCTCGCGCGCGCCGTCTCGCCGACGTCGCCCGCGGCGAGCGCGTCCACGTCCAGCGCGTCCTCGCCGTCCTCGAGCAGCGCCTCGGGCTCGCTGAGCTCCAGCAGCCCGCGCCAGGGGCCGACCTTGACGTCGCGCTCGAGGCGCACGCGGAGCGCGTTCCGCGGTCCCGGCGCGGCCGCGGCGGCCATGACGGCCTCGACGGTCTCCGCGGGCCCCATGCGCCCGCCGAAGGCGGACTCGACGGCGACGACGCGGTCCCCGACGCGCACCTTGTCGCCGCTCCGCGCCGCGGACCCGCCGGCCTTGAGCGCGGCGACGACGGGCGCGCCGTCGGGCCCCGCGCGGAGCGTGAGCCCGAGGGGCTTCGCGAGCTCCACGTCCCAGGACTCGCGCACGGTCTCCTTCTTGCGGATCTGCGCCAGGGCGACCTCGCAGTCGTCTAACGACCGCGTCAGGCGCAGCATGACGTCCGGCGCGCCGCGGGTCGCGCTCCGGAGCCGCAGGCGGCTCCGGACGGCGCTGACGACGCCGGAGATCGTCGCCTTGGGCCACATGGCGTCGCCGAGCGTCGCGGACGTGGCGACGACGCGGTCCCCGGCGCGGCACCCGGACGCGTAGGCGCCGCAGGCCTCGTCGACGCTCTTGATCCACACGAAGGACCCGTCGCGCGTCGCCGACTCGCCGAGCGTCAGGCCGAGCGGCGCCGTGATCGTGACGTCGAACGTGTGGGTCTTCGCCGCGAGGTCCTCGGACACGTGCTTCGCGCCCGCGGGCACGAGCCCCGCGCCCTCGACGAGCGACGAGCCCGGGAGCTCGACGGACTCGGCGCGCTGCGCTGTTCGCATTCGCGGCTGGCCTCGTGTGCCGAGGGTCGGTCGGACGAACGCCGTCCGCTGCGCGATGGAGGCAACCAGGAGGAGTGATCGGAGCATTGTTTCGAGCGTACCCAGTGGGTCGAGGGCGACAACTCAGGCACGTTGCGGCGCCTGCGCCATCACGATCGTGTCGACTGCGGTGGCCCCGCTCGCTCCTGATCTCGTGGCAGCGCTTCGACCCCCGGCCAGCCGCGGCCGCGGCGCCGCGCCTTGCGCCGCGTCGCGAGAAATCCACCCGAGAAGAAATTACCGCGGCACCAGCACCTCCAGCGCCCCGGCCACGCACGCGGCCTCGAAGCGGTCCGCGCCGCCGGGGAGGAGCTCGCCGTCGAGGTTGAGGTCGTCGGCCTCGTTGCCGCGCGCGGGCGCGTAGGAGAAGCGCTCGCACTGGACGATGTCCACGAAGTCGAGCAGCTCGTGCTTGCCGAAGCGCGCGAGGAAGTTGGCGAGGATGATGTCGGCGCCGCTCGACGACTTCACGAGCACGAGATCCAGCAGCCCGTCGTCGACCTCGGCGTCCGGCGCGAAGGGCACGCGCTTGCCCATGCGCGCGTTGATCTGCGCCTGGATGAACGAGTAGTCCGCCAGATCCACGACATCCCCATCGATCTCCAACTCTCCCGCGAAGCTCGTGCGGCCCTGCGAGATGAGCGACAGGCCCGCGAGGTCGTACTGCGCGCCGAGCCCGAGCCACCGCAGCTCGTTCGTCTCCTCGAGGACCGCCGCGGGGAAGCCGCAGGCCGCGATGTTGATGCTGTAGGACGGGGCCGACCGGCCCGCGGCCCGCACCTCCATGACGTCCACGCGCCTCGTGTCGCCGTCGACGATGGCCGCGGCCGCGAGCGCGGGATCGCTGGGGATGCCCAGGTCCGCGGCCCAGGTGTTGCCCGTGCCGCCCGGGACGACGCCGATGGGGCAGCGGCGCATGTCCTTTCGCGCCATCATGCCGTTGACGAGCTCGTGGACCGTGCCGTCGCCGCCGATGCCCACGAGCGCGTCGCGCGGCTCGAGCGTCTTCGCCAGCTGCTCCGCGTGGCCGGCGTACTCCGTGCGCTGCACGGCGACGTCGACGCCCGCGGCCTCGAAGGCCGGGAGCACCTTGTCGAGGATGTCGAGCCCACTCTTGCTGCCGCCGGTCGGGTTCACGATGAGATGGATCGATTTTGGCTGCAGCGCGGCCGCGGTGGCGAGCACGGCGACGAGGCGCAGCATGCTGCAAGCTAGACGATCGCTGCGGGCTTCGGTGTGTTTCCTTTAGCTGTGCGGTTGCTGCGGGCTCCGGCGCGGACGATCGCTGCGGGCTCCGGCGTGGTTTTCTCTGCTGCGGTCGTTGCAGGCTCCGGCGCGCAGCCTAAATGCGTCGCGTCATCATGCGCTCCTCCCTCACGAGGACTGCAACTTGTAGTGCAAGCAAAACCTCAACATGATTAGGGCCGCAGGGGCTTGAGCCCCAGCTTCGCGCGGAGCGCGTTCGTCGCCTCGATGTCGAGGTCGCCGCCGTCGCCGGCGGGCGGCGGCGCGTCGGCGTCGGCCTTCTTCTTCTTCCGGTCGCGCCTCGGGCTCTCGCTCCGGCCCGACCGCTTCATGACGAGGCGCCCGCGCTCGGGCTTCTTCGCGCTCCGCTCGCTGGACGCGCTCGACGCGTCGTCGTCGTCGTCGTCGTCGAGGCCGTCGGCGTTGTTCGTCCGCGGGCCCAGGAGGTTCTGCTGCTCGAGGTGCCACCGCTTCGGGAGGTGCGGCAGCGCGATGTCGCACGAGTAGTCCTCGGTGAGGAGCTCGTCGACGAACTCGTCGACGTGCGTGATCGTCCAGCCCTCGAAGGTGCGCACGCGGAGCTTGGAGTAGTCGACGTAGAGCGGCTCGAGGTACTTGTAGACCTCCGGCGGCCGGCCGACGCACCGGAGGTAGAGCGCGCCGAGCGCGCGCACGTACTTGTACTCCTCGTTCTTGATGAACTCGACGATGATCTCCAGGTCCGGCTGGATCTGGAGCATCTTCAGGAGCAGGCACATGAACTTGGTCGGCTTGCGGATGCCGCCGTACGTGCCGCCGACGTGGTCGATCTCGATGGCCCGGTCGACGAGCGTCTCCGCCGTGAGGCCGAAGCAGTACTCCTTCCAGTACTGCGTCGCGTAGACCTTCATGCGCAGAATCTTCTCCACGATGCGCTGCGGGTTCGTCCCGTGCACCTCCTGGGCCATGGGGTCGCTGCGGTTCGCCATGGCGACGTCGCGCGGGGGCGGTGTCCGCGGGCGTGCGCGTCGGCGCTACGGTGCTTCTGTGCGCGTCTGGGCGTGCCTCGGCGCGGCCGGGGGACGGCGCGGGGGTCCCGCAGGCGGCGCGGCCGGGGCGCGACGACGATGGCGGCGGCGAAGCTGAAGCCAACAAAGCACTTTTGGTATCTTTTTGGTGCACTAAAATTGATCGATTATGGGCAGCCCAATAAAGGTCGCCCTGCTGCTGCTGGTCGGCTCGCCGGTGACGGCAACGAACAGGACGTTCCGCGCCGTGATCTTCAAGGAGGCGCGCACGGGGTCGACGTGGCTCGCGGACCTGCTGCGCAACGAGCGGAGCGTCGGCTACTTCGCCCACGAGGCGTCGTCCTGCGTCAAGAACGGCGACGGCGCCCTGCAGCGCACGGCGCTCTTCTCCCTGCTCGCGGCGCCGGCCTGCGACATGCGCTGCGGCGTCCAGGCCAAGGACGCCGCGCGGCTGCGCTGGCTCGCGGACGCGCGGCGGCCCGCGCCGTCGTGCTTCGCCGGCAAGCTCGTCGGCTTCGACATCCAGGCGAAGAACGACCTCGGCGAGGACCGGAGCCCGCCCCTGGACTGGCCCGCGGACTGGAAGCGCCTCCTGCGCCTGCCCGACGTGCGCGCCGTCGTCTTCGCGCGGACGAACGTCGTGAAGCGGTGCGTGAGCAAGGCGCACGTCGACGTCTTCTACGCCACGTGCCGCACGCGCAAGGCCGTCAGCGCGGACCACCGCGCCTGCCTCGCGGCGCACCGGGCCGCCATCGACGCGCCCGTCGCCGTCGACGGCGCGGACCTCGCGCGGCTCGCGCACAACGAGGGCCGGGAGTGGGTCGACCTCATGGAGAAAGCGGGCGCGGCCGGCGGCCGGCCGCCGCTCCTCGTCTTCTACGAGGCGCTCCTCCGCGACCCGCACCGGGAGCTGAAGCGCTTCTTCGCCGCGCTGGGCATGGGCGACCGCGCGGTGTCGGCGGCGAGCGGGTCCCTGAAGATCACGGGCGACGACCTGCGAACGTCCGTCGCCAACTTCTCCGGCGTCGAGGCGGCCCTCGGCGCCGCGGACCCCTGCTTCCTCGGCCAGCTCCGCGACGCGGAGTCGCGCGTCTTCGACACGATCTGCCTCGCGGGCGGGACGTCCGCGTTCTCGAAGCACGGCGACGCGAGCCCGACGGCCTACGGCTACTAATTAGCGCACGAGCTTCGCGTAGGCCCGGGCGAAGCAGGCGCGGAAGAGGGGCTCGCTCCGCGCGAACGCCTCGACGTGGCGCCGGAAGCCCGGGTCGAGGACGAGCGTGACGTCCGTCGGGATGAGGTTCGCGTCGCCGCGCTCGAGCCGCCGGCCGGAAGTAGGTCGACGAGAACCGGTCCGGGTCCGGGTTCGCGAAGGGCAGCCGCACGGGCGCGGCCTCGAGGCACTCGCGCGTGAGATTCCGCAGGCAGCCCTTCGTCATGTTCAGCAGGCTGTTGTGGCGCCCGAGCGTGTGCGCGCCCATGAGCGCCACGATCTCCTGGTCGCTCAGGGCCAGGCCCGGCCGCCGGAAGTAGCGCCGCACGCCGACGGTCGAGAGGCCCGGCTGCGGCATCGTCGCCGTCACGACGTCGCGCGACTCGTCGCCGGGCCGCTCGATTTTCCGGCGCAGCGTCGGGGGCGTCGCCTTCGCCGCGTCGCGGCGGCCGAGGCCGATGCGGATGGCCGGGCCGCCCGCGGCCTCGACGGCGGCCGCGCCGGCGACGGCGACGGCGTCGGCGACGGACAGGTCCGCCGCGACGGGGCGTCGGAGCTCGAGCACCCGCGCGAGCGGCGGGCCGAGGCGCACGTTCTCCGCGTCGGCGAGCTCGAAGCGGATGGACCCGTCGGCGCCGCCGCGCGCGCCGTCGCGGCGCGTCGCGTCGTGGAACGCCAGCCGCAGCAGCGTGCCCGCGAGCGCGGGGTCGTCGGCGACGGCCGCGGCGACGGACGACCGCAGCGCCGACGCCGCGCGCTCGCGCGCCGCGGCCCGCCGGCCCGCGGCGCCGGCCAGCAGCGCGCCGCAGGACGAGCCCAGGACGAAGGACCGCCGCGGCGCGGCCGTGAGCGCCGGGGAGGCTGCCGGGGAGCAGAGGAGCAGCAGCGGCAGCAGCATCTCAGCAGCGCAGTGTTTTTCGGGCAATTGCAGCGTCTAGCGACCTACGATTTTAGAACGAGCGGCTCTAGCAACAGCAGTCAAGCGCGCCCATGTCGTGGCACGGAATCTCCACTGCACGCTCGCTGATCGAGCAGCACGGACCAACGCTTCAGCTTTAAAGGTGCACCGCGGGGCGCGGGGCCCCGGTGAGACGACGCCGAGGCGTCGGCCGTGGGCCGACGCCCGGACGACGTCCGCGGTCGCCCGGGGAAACGCCCTGAACACCCCGGGGCGATTTAGGAAACCCTATAAGCTGCAACCTACTTAGTCTTCGTTCGCGAGCCCCGCGCCGATGCCGTCCGACGCGTCGTCCGCGTCGAGCCGCTCGCACAGCTGCTGCTTGTTCCCGCTCTTCGACAGCTTCTTGGGCTTCGTCGTGCCACTGCGCTACGCCCGTCGCGGGGTCTGGCCCGGGTGTCCGCCCCTGTGCCCAAGATCGGAGCTGTAGTTCCGTGGGCAAACTTAACTTCACCCCCCCTGTCTGGTAAACCTCACGATGGTCGACGCCGGTGTTCAGTGGTCGCGCGCGTCGACGGCGTTGCGAGCTAGGTCCACCTCCCGCTGCTCCTAAACGTGCTTCGGCCCAGATGCCGACGAGCATGCAGACGGCGCCGCACCCCGAGGCGGCGCCAAAATCGATGAGTTGTGCTGATCACACACGAGGAGCCAGTTGGACTTGGTCGCCTGCGACGTTGGCCGCGGCGCCGCCGCGCGCGCGATGGCGTCACCGTCGTTCCCTTCCTCCGCGACGGTCAACAACCACACCTTCTCCATCGACCAAGCGCGCGGCATCGACGGTGGGAAGCACGTCTTGAACATTCGCCTCGACTCACTCCCTGAAGAGTACATCAGTGTGCTTGGGGGCGCATCGGGCGGCGACCTGCCCCAGGTGCTCGACCGCATCTACAGGCACACGAAGGTATACAACGACGTCGGCTGGAAGGGCCTCGGCGACGGCGGCGACGTCAAGATCATCCTCATCCGCGTCATGGGCCTCGAGCCCGCGGACGCCGACGGCAAGGCGTCGCCGCGCCACGTCGAGGACGTGCTCACCAAGTACGGCGTGGCGAGGTCCCGGCGCGCGGCGGCGAACGCGAACGCGGGCGGCGCCGGCGTCCACCTCGACGCCGGCGCCATGTGGTTCTACTTGATCGCGGCGACGGTCCTCGCCGGGGAGCGCGGCAAGCGCGACCTGGCCAAGCTCGCGAAGCGCGACGGGACGTGGGTGTCGAAGTACGAGGACGGCACGGACGCGTGGACGCTCGGCACGGACGCCTTCTCGCTCGGCACGGACGCGTACTCGCTCGGCACGGACGCGTACTCGCTCGGCACGGACGCGGTCTCCATGGGCACGGACAAGCGGTCCCTCAAGATCGACGCGGTCTCCATGGGCACGGGCAAGGTCGCCAACCGCATGGACGCCTACGCCATGGGCACCGCGAAGAACTCGGCGTGGAACCCGGAGGAGGACGCGGCGCTCAAGGCGCACGTCGAGGAGAACGGGGCGAAGAAGTGGACGGACTTCGGGATTCGGTTTGGGAAGACGTGCGGAGCCGTGCAGCGGCGCTGGCGGGAGACGCTGGACCCCGAGATCAAGTGGTCCTCTTTCGACGCCGGCGAGATGCAGATCGTCCGCGCGGGCGTCGCCGCGGGCGAGACGCCCGCGAAGATCTCGAAGCGGCTCGTCGGCCGGCCGCCGGGCCGGGTCGGCTGGGCGATCGCCTTCCTCAAGCGCGAGTCGTCGACGCCGCGGCGGCGCGGCGCGCGCGGGCCGCCGAAGGCGGCGACGACGGGGCCCGCGGCGGCGGGCTCGTCGGCGTCGTCGCGGCTGCGGTCCTCGGCGGCGTCGACGGCCGCGCGGACGGCGGCGGTGACGGCGCGGCGGTCCGCGGCGGCGGCGACGACGCGGCCCGCGGCGGCGTCGAAGCCCCGCGGCGCGCGCGGCGCGCGCAAGCCGCCGAAGGCGGCGACGCCGCGGCGGTCCGCGGCGGCGGCTTCTTCGCGGCGTTCCTCGGCGGCGTCGACGGCCGCGCGGACGGCGGCGGTGACGGCGCGGCGGTCCGCGGCGGCGGCGACGACGCGGCCCGCGGCGGCGACGACGCGGCCGTCCGCGCGGCCGTCGACGCCGCCGAGGAACGCCGCGAAGAAGCCGCCGCCGCGGACCGCCGCGGCGTCGCCGCCTTCGGCGGCTTGCGCGCGCCGCGCGCGCCGCGGGGCTTCGACGCCGCC